ATGAGTCCTTAAAAATTAAATGTTCTCAAAATTTGTGAATGCTAGCAATTAAAATTAAAATGTTGCTATCAAGTTTTCGGGATTTTCAAGAGGCGTGTGCTTTTTCATTTTCAAATTATGTTTTGTTTATTTAAAGTCCATAAAGTAAAAACAAAAAGTGGGTTTTTATTCGTGTAAAAATTGTATTTCCGTTATATTTGGCAGAAGGCGGGAAAAATATTCAATGACATTTGAGGTATTTGATACAATTACTGCGTATCTTTCAAATTTAATGGAACATTACTGACCTGCTCATGGGAAAGCCATCTTTTAATTTACATCTTTTAAAATTATAGTGTGCTGTAATTCATCTCTGATTTTATTATGTTGGGAACACTTTTACTCAAGCATGCCGTTCTTGGTGGTGAAGGTACTTTTTTCCGGGCTTTCCAGGTTTTCTATTGCGACGAAGAATGCTTGAAAATGAACTGCGATACCCACGCTCGTGAATGCAAATTTATTGGCAACCTGGGAAGCACTCAGCTTGGCAATTTCGGATTTTTGCCGCTGAGAGCCGCGCTTCAAACTGACCACTTGGGAANTTTGAATCGCGGAGCGCAAACTTGCTCTGTGCCATTCGCGTTGAACCATCGGGAGAGCTGTAACAACTTGTGCGTGTTCTTTGGGCATCAACTGTGGGACCACGTTCCGCTTTGGTTTTGCTGAAATGATTACAGTATTTGCAAGAAACTTTGAAGAATCAAGAATTCTCAATTTCAAAGGGTTTCTCAAAAGCTTCTGATGATTGAAATAGAATCAGTGAGGTCAGATGAGGAGGGTCTAACGGCACTTATGCACCCGTTTACTGTTGATTCATGAACATAATTTCTTCCCATTTCCCACGGATGACGTACGAAAATTTAAAATTTTTGAATCTGTCGAAACGTGCTGAACGATTTTACTGAAAAGGATTACTGCGAGGTTGAAGGATCTTCGCCGAACAACGGAAGGATAAGAAAAAAAAACAAAAACTATGTTTATTATGACAGGTTTTATGAATTATTCGGTAGAGGAACCCATTCGTATGCGCTAAAGGTATTCTGCACTCACCTCTTTTGTAAGCACTCCAAAGTTGATTCGAGTCGGATATTTTTGATGAACCGGAGCGCTGAAGAAATACATTCAGCAAGTTGTGTTCTTTCAAGTGCGGGTTCAGGATTTCCAGTATCTTCATGTTGCCAGGGTCGAGAGGGAATCCTGAGCTCAGGTATTCTCCCATTGATTCAGCTGCCAGTTGTAATTCCTTCTTTTCTTCCCAGCTCGCGGGGAATTTCTTGAGCAATCCCACCACCTGAATCAGTTTCTTCTCGAACCGTTCAAATGAATCTTCAAGTTCTGAGAAGAAATTTTTCTTACGCTCACTTCTGACAATATTGAGTTGATTTCTCTCTCTACAGTAAATGACTGACCAGACCGAGAAAAAGAGACCAAGTGGAGGTTATGTTAGGCTTTAGAGCGTATTACGAAATACACTTCCATTGTCTGGTCCGGTGGTACAATTACTTTCAAAGGATCAGTCGCGTACCGAAGGAAACTGGGTCTTTGTTATTCAGTTTTTTTAGTCACACTAGATTTGGTCATTCACACTCTACAGAACCACAAATTCAATCTCTTCGTTTACCTTTCTTTAGCTTCCTCCCGGTTACGTGAACGTCATAATAGTAAGAATACGCATCTTCAAGCATAGCAACGTCACTTGTGCGTTTCTCTCTTCGTCTCAACAGCGTTTCCTGTTGCGAAGTAACGATTGCCTTCCTGAGCTTCTTGTTTTCTATCTCTTCTTCCATCTGAGCCAAAGCGCTCATGTTGAGGACAGTTTTGTAACTGATTGCTTCAACGGTATCGGTGGAGAATGCATCTCGTGGAGGTCCTTCGGGAAATGCGGATCTCCCGGCAGATTTCAGTCTCAGAAAGATCATGTCTTTCCAACTGTCTCCCTTCATAGCTTCCGACCACTCTTGCATGTCCTCTGATAAATAGAGGTTCTCGCGTTTGAGACCAGCCAAGCGTTGGAGCATGTATTTCGCTTTCAAGTAGAGCTTGGACGCATTGGAACTTGTGTCTACAGCGTCTTCTTCTTGTTGTTCTTCTGAACATTCCTCCTCTGGCTCTGCGTCACTGGCTTTGCAACTGCCCTGTTTTTCATTGGGTGGAAATTGTCTCCCGGTGTCGGTTGCACAGCAGTCGATTTGCGTGTCGTCCGCTGATTTCGCTGTCGACGCCTTTTCATGATCAACAGACCCGGATGATGGTGTCTTGTGCATGGCTTTTGACTTCGGGCAATAGTATGGTGAACCCTTTGCTCCTGCGTCGGAACGTAGGAGTTCGTCCCAACTCATGATAGGATCTCTGAAGCCTTCACTGGTTGCGTCATCCGAGGTAGGTGATGATGAGGCCCGATTTTCACCGGCCACGGGTCGTATGAGTAGTATCTTGGGTTCCGAAGTGTGAGATTCCAGCGGAAGTTGGTCCGTGACGCGAGTGGAATCTAAAATATCAGGCGATGCTTTTTCGGTTGATTCAGAGTCCGCCTGAGTAATGCCGCTATCTCTCGCGATACGTTCCTCTGCGGATTGGTGGACTTGAATATTTTACCAAGGTCACGGTACAACAGTGATTTTTGTGTCCCCAGTTTACCGAGTTTGAGTCATTTCTCTCGGCGAGCAATGCGTATAGAACAAAGCTTTGCAGCCAATTATTACCACTGTTGGTTCTCCATGGAACATGAGGCCATTAATGCGCGGAAGTATCTTCATGAAAATGATTGTTAGTGCATGTATTATTATTATGACTGGTTTATAATGCATTCCCACGATACGCAAATACAGTACACTACTCATACAACACTTGCACAGGGATACTTTTGGATCAATGCATTACAGCCCACTTGAGCCTAAAAAATTCGAACCTTCCTCTGTTGAATTCTTTTGTCCCTTTCTGAATTCCCTTACAAAGACTGCATTAAAACCTCCTTAACTGAAAGGCTTTCCTTGTCAAACCTCCATAATTATGTTTTCTGGAGGCCTTTTGGCTATAATTTTATTGATACAGGAAAGAGAAAAGCTTTAAAAATGTAACTCGAGGTTTTCTGAAATGAAGTAAAAGACTTATTGAGCAAATAAACCTTTGCTTCTTGCTCAGCATCCTGCCAACTCGTTTAATAATTCATTCAACTATTTAAGGCCCAGAGTATCATCAATTACGATTTCTTTTTAATCTTCTTTCCTCCCAAGTCAGATGTTTTTTCCCTTAATGGAAATTTCCTCAACTTGAATTTATTTTTCTGGTCCCTTTAAGTTGGGTTTAAAGAGGTGTGATTGTATTACCCGTACTCAAATTTATTAAACGGCAGTATATTTCTGAAATGCAGGGAAAATGTTGGGCATCATTTTTGGACAGAAACGTATTTATTCAGTTCTTATTGGCAGACTGTTAAAAGTAAAATTTTTTATCGAGCTACCACTTTTCCTTGAAATCGAATCATACTTTCATCATAAAAAGTCAGTCAGTCAAAAATTGAAATTAGAAAATGATTCCACCCACCAATCTTGGAATTTAAAATTAAAGTATATGTTTTAAAGAAATAGCTGACGATTTGCAGAAAATTCGTTACTCATCTTTGTACTGTATTGGTCGGTTTTTTCATGGAATTACAGTACTTATGTATTCTCAATTACCGCGTTTGATGCACTGGTCATAACATCTTCATAACTCATGCCATGCAACTGGTCAACATTCAAAATACTGTACCGTGGCATTAAATGGATTAAAATGTGTTTTATTTCTAAAAAAAATACATGTCCAGTTCTGTACTTGAATGGTAGAAGGCGCTTCAAAAACCAGCACTCAGGAAGTGCAATATCAATTCCATTCTTGTGCTGGAAAATATGGCACAGTGCAATGTGATAGTACAGTTCAGTAAACAAATAAAATAATACAGTTGCAAGATTTTTTCAATTAGAGCGCAGTTCAAGTTAAGCACTGCAAATTAAAATTACCGTCTGGCGAAATATTGAGAGCCGTCAATGCGTTATCAGCAAGAACGCAGTGTGACACCGAAATTAGTGATGCAGCCGTGCACGTAGCCCGCCCTTCTTGTTTCTCCGCGCGCATGCCATCGTCCCTTCGCGCATTTGATTCATCATCCAAATCTGTGAATGAGTGTTCTTCCTTGTCCTCCTTCATTGGGCGAAAGTTGCTCCATAACCCGCGAAACAGTCTCACGGAATTCCCCGTGTCTCCGGTCAGAAGCAGCGATTGCAGATCATCATTGCTGGCTTGATGATCGACACCACCTACCGTCTTTTCCTCGCCATTCGAACTTCCGGGGCGAGAGTCTTCCCTGTGATGGCCATTATCTCTGTCTTCTTGGCCCGCGGTTGCCGAGTAAGCCGTGATATTTTTAGTGGCGTAACCTGCTTGTG